AAGATTATTCTTTGGATGAAATTAAAAGTCCATGCTGTGGATCACCCAAACAAATGCAACGAGAAATCCAAGAAGAAGAAATCCACAAACCCTAACAAAGATAACAAGAACAAGAAGAAATTCAAAATTTCTTTTTACGTGTTGTAAACTCGGACATTTTGCTCGAAATTGTTGACATTGCAAACTATCATCTCAAGAAGGCAAAGTAAACTCCATGAAAATATTATTGCTACTATGAGCATTGTGAATTCAGTCAAAGAAAAGGTTCGAGAATGGCGGTATGATACTTGTGTCACCATACATGTGTGCTATGATAGATCCATTTTCAAAATCTATCAAAAGGTGGATGATGAACACATTCAAATGGGGAATGAAGTTCAATCAAAAGTTGTTAGCAAAAGAAGTATAGACTTACAATTTATGTCCAGCAAGAAGATCACATTAACAAATATGTTGCATGTACCGAATATGAATAGAAATCTTATAAGTCGTGATTTGTTGGGAAAGCCAGGAATAAAGTCCACATATGAGTAAGGCAAACTTATACTTTTCGAAATGGTTTATTTGTTTGAAAAAGCTATTTTAGTGATGGAATGGTCGCACTTTGTACTATTGATAATAATATCAATAAAACTACAAATTTAAATTATCTTGTTGAGTCTATTTCTTTATGGCATGATAGACTATAACATGTTGGCTTTTCTACTTTAAAAAATATGATTAAAATCGGAATGATTTCATGTGAAAACATAGAATATAATAAATGTAAATTATGTGTTAAGTCTAAAATGATTAAAAAATATTTTCATAATGTTGAAAGGAAATATAATTTGTTAGAAGTAAATGAAATGTTAACTAGAGAAGATTATTATACTTCATAGCATCATAGATGATCATTCTAGATTTTGCTATATCTACTTTATGAAACATAAGGATGAAACATTTAACATATTTAAGATATACAAAGTCGAAGTAGAAAATCAATTAAATATAGAAAGATTAAAATTCTTGGAAGTGATATGAGAGATGAAAATTTCTCTAGTGAATTTAATATTTTTTTGTGAACAACATAACATAATACATTAATGTAGTGCACCTAGAACACCTGAACAAAATGATTTGACTGAGAGAAAGAATAGGACACTAGTTGAAATGATAAATTCTATGTTATTAATTGCTAAGTTGCCATCTACCTTATTGGGTGAAACTTTATTAAGTACGTGTCACATAGTTAATAGGATTCCTTCTAATAAAATTAAGATTACTCAATATGAATTATGAAGGGAGAAAACCAAACACTGATTATTTCAAAGTATGAAGGTGTCTTGCTTATAGTGAGAACACAGATTCTAAAAGGACTAAGTTGAGTCCTGGAGGAATCAGATATGCTTTTGTAGGATATGCCCAAAATGGCAATGCATATCGTTTATTAGACTTGGAAGCTAATGTTATTATTGAATCCCGTAAAATAGAATTCTTTGAGAATATGTTATCTTAAGATAATAATTATCTAAAGGAACCTCAAGTGGAGATTCATAGCTCTACAATATCACAAGTAGAAACACCTTTCAAGGATGTTGAAACAAGTGAAATTCATAGAAGCAAAAGAGCTCAAAAGGAGAAAGTGTTAGGATTGGATGAATTAGACTCTCAACTTATTTCTTTCTATCTAATTGAGGGAGGAAATGAGAAGAGTGTCACAAGAACTACTCCGTATGTTCTTCAAGTGGAAATCGATCCTAAAACTTATCAAGAAGTAATGTCATCTAGAAATAGCACATTTTGGAAGGATGCTGTAAATGATCAAATTGATTCAATAATTTCAAGCAACATTTAAAAATTAGTGGATCAACCATGTGGATTAAAACTTATAGGCTGTAAATGGGTATTTAGGAAGAAGTAAAATGCGGACGGTACTCTTAATAGCTTTAAAGATAGGTTAATGGCTAAAAGATATCGACAAAAAGAATAAATATATTGCTTTGACACGTATGCACTAGTTGCACGAATAACATCAATTAGGACTATATTCACTTTAGCTTCAATCTATGATTTGCATATATATCAAATGGATGTTAAAACGACATTCTTAAATGAGGATCTCGATGAGGAGGCCCATAAGGAACAACTGAAAGGATTTGTTCTACCCAAAAATGAGGATAAGTATGCAAGCTAAAAAATCCTTATATTGATTAAAACAAGCACCAAAGAAAGTGCACGAAAAGTTTGACTTAGCAATTATGTCTTCTAGATTTAAACAAAATAACATTAATAAATACTTTTATTCAAAAGTTTGTGATAATCATGTTGTGCTCATTTGTTTATATGTAGATGACTTGTTGATTGTGAGCAATCAAATGCAATGTATATAAGAAATAAAGAGGTTTCTATCTTCCACATTCAAAATGAAATTTCTTGATCAGATGGATATCGTACTAGGTATCAAAGTCACCAAGACTGGTGGGGGGGCGTTATATGTTAAGACAATCACATTATGTTGAGAATGTGATTAATAAATTCAAACACTTGAATATTAAAGATGTTAATATTCAATTTGATCCAAGTTTGAAACTTTTAAAGAATGATGGAAGAATTATAGCACAACTTGAGAATGCAAGTGTTATCAAAAGTCTAATGTGTGATGTGCAATTTACAAGACTCGATATAGTATTTGCCATTAATAAACTTAGTCGATTTATTAGCAATCCAAATAAAGAACATTGGAAGGCTATCGGGCGGGCTCTTGGTTATTTGAAGAAAACCAAGGATTTCGGTCTCCAATATTCTAAGTTTTCGCCAATATTAAAAGGTTTTACTGATACTAGTTGGATATCTAGTATTAGTGAGAATAAATTAATGTCAAGTTAAGTATTTAACCTTGGAGGAGGTACGATCTCTTGGAAATCCAAGAAACAAACATATATTACTCATTCAACTATGAAATTTGAATTTGCGACATTGATTGAAACCGAAAAAGAAGTTGAATGGCTTAAGGATTTAATGTACAAAATTTGGGAAAAATGAATAACTCTTCTGTATCCACCTTATGTGATAGTCAAGCCACTTTAGGTAGACCATACAATGGAATGTATAATGATAAGTCAACCATATGAGTCCAAGATATGACTATGTGAAGAAATTAATCAAAGATGGAATAATTTCATTTACTTGCGTGAAGTCAAATGAGAATTTAACTTATCTGAACCACTCACGAGGGAATTAGTGCAAACAACAACTAGTGAGTTAGGATTAAAACTCTGTAATTAAATCCACCAATGACGGCAACGCTACCTGACTATACTAACAAGTATACTTCAAATTCAAAGGGTAACAACAAGCCATTTGATAAGTGAACAGTTTCCAACTCTTATTTTTTCTTTTAAAACCCTATCATAGGTTACAAGTGCTGATTGTCACACATAGGAGGGTTGAGTTTCTATAACTTTTAATAAAGTTCAAATCGATGGATCAAGTATCTCTACAAATGACAGATATACTGTAAGAAATTTACCTATATAAACTTCGAGGGGTGTTGCTTCAATAGAAAGTTGGAGTTTCTCTCTTAAAAATTTATGAATGGGAAAAGCGCAGGGCCACAAAAGCACTAAACAAGATTCTGTAGAACTTGAAACACTTGATACTTGTGTGTATGATTTCCCCGGTATCATCACAAGTAATAATAGGTTCAAAACTTTCATACTACCTAGGATTGGATGATTACTTTGTGAGATTTATACTAAGGTTGGATTTAAATCGAAAAATATCCATACTTTATGCATAAGTGTCATTAATCTTAAATTCGTACTCATTCTATATTTGAACAAGTGGGGTATTGTTGGATATTTTTCAAATTAACGAGTAATTTTGGAAGTGATGGAAATGGTTAACCATGAAAAAAAGGCAAAAACAAAACGAGAACAAAAAACAATGATGGTCGAAAAATGGCCTTGTCGGCCTCCTAGGCTTAAGTTCGGGCGGCCACCTGGCCTTATGTTGCAATTACAATGGTCATTTTTTTGAACTGGGCGGTCGTCCAGTAGAAAAATTTGCCCATTGAGATTTTGAATTATAGTGTCGTTATGAAGGGTTTTACACCCTTTTGGCTTGGTTTTGCACATTTTCATGCATGGTTATTGTAACTCTATATATATAGGATTGGTTTTTATGATTGAAATCATATCACAAACATCAAATTCATTCGTCAACATCTACAATTAAAGATCAAACCTATTTTTTAATATTGTTCTTCAAATTTTCTTTTCCAAGTTTTGTTTGTTTGATTCAAATTTCGATTAAGGTTTGTTTACTCCTGCAAACTATTTGTCATTGAAGCCTTCAAACACTTACCACGGTGGTAGCAAATGTCGTTTGAGGACAGCGATTCATAATCGTGTTCAAACATTCTATTTTGACGATTTCTTCTTGATGGTTTTATTTTCGTTCTTCATGAGCTTTGTTCAACAATAATCAGGATAGTTAACATTGTTTTCATTTGAATGGTCCAATGAGTTATTTAAGTGGATTGGAAGACGGTTTCATATCAACTACATTATGCTTTATTGTATGGATCCTGAATTAGCTAGAGTGGCTTGGTTATGGACAGAGAGAAAAGGCGGCAAGGGTCTCGGTGTCCTGCTTTCCTTTTTACCACTAGTTTTCAGATTAGCTCATTCATTTTTTATCAGTATCTCTTAGGATTTAATAGTCAAAACTGGGCTTGAAATTGCACATGAAAATAGCTAAGTGCCCTTGTGGGAAAATTATCTTTTTTTGTAATCAATAACAAATAGAAATGTAAAGGATCTCTCATTTTCTTTTATTCTAGTATTAGAATTATTAAATACCTGAAACGCTTGAGGTGAATAAATTTGCTCATAATATACTGATTCACTCTTCTCTCAATCTTGTTTTCATTTTATGCAACATTTTTTGGTCAAGAGTTCTTGTGAATCCTTCCCTCACAACAAGTTGTTCATAATTGTCAATATTTGCTTTTGCAGGTGGAGAAAGGTTATGGTTATTTTGCTCTTGAAAGACATGCTTTAAGCTTGCTTATTGCTGGTCCAGTTCTTTGGCTGCTTGGATCAGTCGATAACTCATGTCAGATATACGAGAGAGCAGGTGGACATGTTCAAATCTTGCAGGAGAGCGTTCTTATCCCGTTCTTGATGGGCAGCATGTTGTTTCTTATCGGTGCTATTTTAAATAGCCGAGAGCAGATTGGATATGATCACCATGGCTTGGAACTCGTGGTAAATTAAATATCAATTATTTGCATATATTTACTTAAAACGTTACGTTGAGAGAAGTTGCTCAAATCACTGCCAGTGATTCTGACAACTCTTGTATTGAAGAGATCATGGATTCATTGCACAATTTTGGTATGCCTAGTGTGAAAATTAGATGGTAGTAAATAGTATTGAAGTAGAAAAATGGGCTAAAGTTTTTGTTTATTATAGTCTGGGCTATCTAGCAAACCAAACATACACTTGACACATATGATTGGCTTGTTCTTTTTCACTTGATGAATGATGAAGATTAGAAAAAAATTAAAACGAATCTTGCATAAAGTTTGTAGATAAATGTCTTGATTTGACTGCTGAAGATCTCAAATTTGCAGGGTGAGTTTTGGATATGGCTAGGTATATTTGGAAGCTTGTTACTTTTCATTGGGGGATTAACAAATGTTGTAAAAGTTTTCAAGATGCAACAAATTGACGGACTGAGACTAGAGAAACTGCGAGGCGGAGCACAAGAGGTGTTGGTTCAAATACGAGAAGGTCAGGCCCCCCTCATTGTTGAAGAGTGGCAGAGGAGGACACCACAGGTTGAGGGTAGCCAATCTGCTGCTGGTTCGGGACCTTTCAAAGAGACACCTTACAAGGATGCACTCATTGGTCAGGCCTGAGAGCTTTGGGTTCCTGCTGTTTCTTCTAATTCTGTGTGCCTTCTACATTTTGAGTTTCGACTATTTCCATTCCTAATTTTGTTTCCACTATCAATGCAATTAGAAGGTTTTTGGTAAACAACAGTACGAAAAATATTGGTTCATTTTGTAATAATAGGGACAAAACTTTATGAAATACTAATGGATTAAGGTATCGTGCTGGTTCCTGTTTTTCAGTTTACATATTTTAGGTCGTCATGCACGATGCTCAGCAAATCCTGCAGTAAAATGTGTGCAATGTGTTTGCACAAGCTTCGTTGATTAGTAAGAATGGTGCTAGATCAGTAAAATAGTGCTAGAGCACCAGTCTAGGTGGCTACGTTTAATAGGCTTAATTAAATGAGTCGTATGACTTTGCATTTAAATGAATTTATAATTTAGAGTGTGTTTGGTATGGATTTTTGGGGGAAGAATTGATTTTTGAATAGTGATATGATGGGAAATCTGCGGTTGAAAAAGAAGAAAAAAGTATTGATGTGATGGAAAATATTATTTTATTGAAAAATGTGTGATTGAAAATGAGAATTTATACCAAATAGGTACTAAATAACATTGTTCTTATTAAAATTCTCGACTTGGTCATTGGATTTGATACATTATGTTCCTGTTTGGACTCTGTTTTTTCAAAATTCATTCTCAACCACAAATTTTCTCATAAAATAATATTATACTTAAATCAAATTTTTATTTTTTTCAAAACACATTATTTTTCAAAATCTCATTTTAATGGAACCGAAATATGGTATATAAATAACATCATCAAAAAAGTAGTTTTGGAGTGGCTTCCACCCCATAAAAGTGGCACAAAAAATGGCAATATTGCATGGTGGGGTATATTTTAATTATATATATATAGCAAAAATAATTGATTATTTTTTGTTGTACGTAATGTGCCCATACCCCATTACACTATCAAGTGAGGAAACAACTTGGGTCCTTCGATAGGGTTGCATCATGTACACAATACCAAGTTGTATTAAATGGTTTTCTCAAACTGCTAACACAAACGTGGTTTCATCAAGCACATAGGAATGAATTATCATTGACATTTGACGTTTTTAGATAAAGAATTCAACTCATAGGCAATATGCATGATGTCTTAATATTTATATATAACCAATCTACTAATTTCATCTCCATACAATTAATGTAAAGCCGCCAAATTTGATACACGTGTTTCCATTTTTAAAAGATTATGCACTAATTTGTTCCTTTTTAAAAGTTGTCATAGACCGTATAATTCATGGATCGATTTCTAGGAAGCTCGTGATATATTGGGATATAGGTTGTAAAATTTTGTCTAGCATATCAACTTGATATCCTTGACCATCATTCCAATCAACATACCAAGACAATAGATCCAAAAACAATCAAAAGTTGAGGTCCATTCCACTCAAAAGTGGACTTTTGTGTGTTTGTGGATCCATAAACCTTGCAAAAATAAATGAGAGAATCTACTCCTTTTTTTAATCAAATCCCACCCAATTTGCAAGGCTATCCTACTAACAGTAGGGTCACGATACTGTATAGTTTTTTGAAAAATGTCACTTGTACATTCTTTTCTTGATATAATTGTTGGCATCGTCAGTATTGACAAGTATTGATTGGATGAAAAATTGTGCAAAATTTAAACCGTCCAATAATGTGTTTCCAC